TAATTTGTTAGTGGAGACTTGTCGTTTAATTTTCTTATGGTCTGCTTACATCCTGTAAAGTTTAGCAAAGTCTCCCCTGAATTTAGGTCTCTGGCCCTTTCCCCTTTGTCTTATTCACTGTCAATTGGGTTGATATTTAAGAGGAGTGACCTTTTGGTTCTGTTGACTTAGGCTATTACCTTTATATTATCTATTTTTATTTCCTCTCTATTCTTATTTCTTTCACTCTAAAGGCATGTCGTTTGGCTGTTTTTTTGTTTTTGTTTTTTAATTTCTGATGTTATATGGGAATATGCCCTCTGCCTTAACCATTCTTATCTGGACTACCTTCCATCCATTATCTTATACATACTTGCTTATATTTTCATTTTGGTGTTTTCCCCATCCACGCAATCCTCAGAGTCCTTCCTCCTCACCCACATGGTTCCTTCTCCACCAAACTCATCTTGGCATCCTCTTTACTCCTCTTTTCCTATCTGTCTGCTTCCTGTGATTATCCTGTCCTCCAAAGCCTGGGAACCTTAGCCATGCCTACCCCATTCTGCCCCGCCCAGGTATAGGCCATTTAATCAACCAATCAGATAGGTTTACACAACAAGGATAGGTATATCCAGGGATCAACCAAATCTTCAAGACTAACATCAGAACAACCCTTAACAATTGCCGGTTTTCTGACTAAATAAAAAGGCCATTATTTTTATACAGCAAGAATAATATGAAACAATTACAAAAACAAATAGATAAGACTATTATTCTCTCGGAAGACAGTTAATAGCCTGGCCTAAGAGGAGGATATTTAAGATGTTCAGGAGCCCAGAGGAGGATATTTAAGTCTATGTAACCTTGCTTTGATTTCAACAGGATAATGACTATATGTTCAATAATAATGGTAACTTATATTGCTGATCCAGCTACACGGGAATAGCTCTGAAACTGAGACATGGATGTCTATGCATAGACAATAATTCTTATTGGATATAGAATCTCCATTAGTACATGCCATCTTTTCATATGGCATGAATAAAGATTTAGAGATGTCTTTCTTCTGCTCATACAAAGAGCAGAGAGCCATCCTTAATTGATTTGTGCATCTTGCACCTCATACATTTTTAGAACTGTATAATGCTTGTGAGAAATTATATATTTTCATAACAAAAGAACTGGACACTAGTGATGCTTGATCAAACCTGACAGGATTCATCCTTCCAGCATGCTGAGATTCTGACACATCTGTTCCAGCATCCTGCCTGCTCTAGCACTCTGCTTGTTCCTGCCTCAACTGCTTCAGTTGCTGTTCCTTATCAAACCGTGCTCCAAGAGAGCTTTAAAGAAAGCTACTAATCTCAACTGGTCCAGCATTTCAAACTGTTCCAAATAGGACTTCCATTAAACCTGAAATTTCTCAACATTCAAAGACTGGACCAAAAATGTTAATGCTAGCTTAATTAATAATTTTTTCCGGTTTGCTTTGGTCCCCCAAATGGGATTTCTTTGTGTCCCAAAAATCAGCTAAGGAAACTAAAAGAACAACAGCCATTTCCCTTACGTGTGATTGGTAGGATTTTGGTTGATTTCTTGGGCTATGAACACAATGAGTTTAATAGCGAGAACTTTTTCATTGTTGTAAATCATGTAATTCATTCCACTTATTTGGAATACAGTCACCATTGTCATGTAGAACATATGTTCCAAGCCCTGTGTCAGTAACAATGTACACCTGCTTTCCAGATGAAGATTAAGTCATGCTCAAAACCAAGCCTAATGGAATGTGATAGGTATAACCAAGAAAACATGGTTAACATTAAGGAAACATAAGCCAACCATTTTAAGCCATTTACCTATATATAAATTTTTGTTTAAATTTATTTTAATTTTTATTTAAATCTTAAATTTTTATATAAATAGGTATTCATTTTAAAAGTAAAATTGTTTTTCCATTCTCTTTTCCAGAATCTTTTATTTCTTTAAAATTTAATTTTTATACAATATATTTTGATCATGTTATTTATCCTCCACCTTCCCTTCCAAAATAGTCCTCACCTTAGTACCCAGCCAACTTTATGCTCCTTCCTTCTCTTTCTCCTAAGCTCATCTCTCTCAGGAAAGGAGGAAGGGAGAAGGGAGGGAGGGGGAGATGGAGAAAGGCAGGGAGGAAAAGAGGAAAGAAAGAAAGAAAGAAAGAAAGAAAGGAAGGAAGGAAGGAAGGAAGGAAGGAAGGAAGGAAGGAAGGAAG